ACAGATACTATCTTTGAGTTGTGAAGATAAGAGTAGTTCCATTGGGGATACAGATACCATCTTTGAGTTGTGAAGATAAGAGAGTACATTGGGGATACAGATACTATCTGAGTTGTGAAGATAAGAGTAGTTCCATTGGGGATACAGATACTATCTTTGAGTTGTGAAGATAAGAGTAGTTCCATTGGGGATACAGATACTATCTTTGAGTTGTGAAGATAAGAGTAGTTCCATTGGGGATACAGATATCTTTGAGTTGTGAAGATAAGAGTAGTTCCATTGGGAGATACTTCTTTGAGTTGTGAAGTGAGTGTTCCATTGGGGATACAGATACTATCTTTGAGAGTAGTTCCATTGGGGATACAGATACTATCTTTGAGTTGTGAAGATAAGAGTAGTTCCATTGGGGATACAGATACTATCTTTGAGTTGTGAAGATAAGAGTAGTTCCATTGGGGATACAGATACTATCTTTGAGTTGTGAAGATAAGAGTAGTTCCATTGGGGATACAGATACTATCTTTGAGTTGTGAAGATAAGAGTAGGTCCATTGGGGATACAGATACTATCTTTGAGTTGTGAAGATAAGAGTAGTTCCATTGGTGATACAGATACCATCTTTGAGTTGTGAAGATAAGAGTAGTTCCATTGGGGATACAGATACTATCTTTGAGTTGTGAAGATAAGAGTAGGTCCATTGGGGATACAAATACTATCTTTGAGTTGTGAAGATAAGAGTAGTTCCATTGGGGATACAGATACTATCTTTGAGTTGTGAAGATAAGAGTAGTTCCATGCAAATACTGTCTTTGAATTGTGAAGATGAAAATAATTCCATTCAAGATACTGTCTTCAGATTGTGAAAATAAGAGGTTTCCATAGTAGATGTAGTCTTTAAGTTTTGAAGATAAGAGCAGTTTCATTGTGGCTACAGTCTTTAAGTTGTAAAGGTAAGAGCAGTCCCATTGTGGATACAGTTTTTAAATTGTGAAGATAAGAGTAGTTCCATGGTAGATAGTGTCTTTAAATTGTAAAGAAAAAAGTAGTTCCACTTGGATACTATCTTTGTATTGTGAAGATGAAAATAGTTCCATCGGAGATACTGAATATGTACCAGTCCTAAGAAGTAAAGGCAACCGGCTTGATGCTGACCACATCACCCACCAAGTGCCGATTAGTCTATAAAATAAGTCTAGCCCTATGTGTCCAATATGCATGAAGGCGTTAAAAAAAGGTCCTCTTTTTTGTGTGTAAACCTATGCTGGTAAGTATCAGTGAGTGATGAACAATTAACACCCAAGTTCCACAATTAGAATGAGAATCCCACAAGGCACGAGTCCCAGAAACCCTGTTCAACCTTAAGGTTATATTAGGGCCCCTAACAACGGTTACGAATTGACCTGAAATTCAGCCATTATGGGACTTTTAATTCTTAATTAAACTTCAATAAAAATTGTGTCCTATGTCGAGACAGGTTAGCATAAGCACACGGGTAAGGATGAGGGACGTTCAACGTCACCAGGACCGTACAACGAGCAACAAAAACCCTGTGACACAAAGTGCCATCTTTCAGGTGAGAATCCCCCAGGTGCACGTCCCAGAAACCCAGTTCAACCGTTAGGTTATGTTAAGGCCTCTGACAACATCCAGGGTGAGGCTTTTTTAAATAACAAAACATTGCGTTCCATTTTGGGACGAGTTGTTCATGCGGGGGTAAGGGTGCAAAAATTGCCTAGTTACCAAGGTTTACCAATGATTTTCTTCACAGACACGAAGATACAGTTCAACATTTCAAGATATTAACAGACTCCAACAACAAGTTTTATATTTGGCCAAACTCTGTTTTCTTCTCCATAAACCAACTTGTAGAAAAATATCATACAGAAAACGTATCTGGGGACCCAAAGAAAGTTATACATCTACGAGACACTCGGCAAGAGGTGAGAAGTGTGTTATGTCTTCTTCAGCATTTTATTCTTCTTTCTCCTCCCCCATCGTCTCCTCCTACTCTTTCTTCTTTGTCTTTGTCTACTCAGTTTTACTTCTCCTACTACCTTCTTTTTTTTTCCTCCTTCCTATATCTCCTGCTCTTTTCTTATTCTTTTTTATGCTTTGCTGGTTCCAACAGAGCATACTCGCTTAACCAGCATTTATCAGGTATTTTGCGGACTTGTTAGCTTCAGAATTGCAATTCCGGTTTCATAGCCAATAAGTCACCAAGTAGTTGCTCCGATTCTATGCCAACAAAAATCATGCAGAATGTCTGTCACTGTCAGATGTGCCAACACAAACAATCCAACACTAGAAATGCAGTTCATCATCGATTGAAGCAGCAATCATAACAGATCAGTAGGCGCATACACAATTATCACATAAGGCACCACTAGTTCTTTGGCAGCAGGCCACTCACCATTTTCTGAATCTGCATATCACAAAAGAAACCACATTGGGCACAGTGCAAACAGTATTCTTAATGAAATCCATCGCCCACAGTGTCGAGTCACCCACTCGTCTCAGTAGCTGGGCAACAGAACTATATCCTTTTAGTCTACTTTGGGAGGAAAATGAGATGGCTAACTATTATCATAAGCAAAAACTTGCTACGACTAAAAACAGTTAAGCTGCCTGCCAGCCATATTGACCTGAAGCCCTTGTTTGTTGTTCAGCTTATTTATTTTAAGCTACATTTATATAACCACCTTCTCATGAGAATAATCACTGGAAGAACCTTGGAGTGGCTGCTGCATCAGAAGACTGAGCACTCATAGGAATGCCCAGTGTGCAGTGACGTTGATTGTAATAAAGTAACACACTATGGCATATAGTATAGTACAACAGGAGATGATCATCATTATCGTCATCATCATCATACATCACTTTTGCTGTTAGGCGCCGGGGGGAGGAATAATTTTCGATCCAGTGCACGCTGGCTGCCACTGGCTATTGTCATGTCGTGAAGGCGTAGTGTGTCTTTAATGTTGTCGATCCACATTTTCTGCAGCCGTCCTCTTGCTCTTGTAACTGATCTTCTGAGATGTAGTGCTAATAATGGTATATAATCTTGCTGCATTTTAACGCGGTGGCCAAACCACACAACAGGAGATTATGCATGTAAAGCCATCATCATCATGTGGCAGGTACTCAATAGACTATCACAGCCTACCTGAGAGAAACTCGGTCTCTCACCAGATCTTCCACCTTGTGCACCCACCTACCCGAGGTCTCCCTTATATCCTATACCCGTCTTCAGTGCCGGTTGGCCCCTGCCCCTCTTTCCTGGTACCATGCCCTCTGTTTCTATTCTTGCCAATCCACCATAGGACTTGATATGGCCAAAATCTTTCAGTTACCAAAACAAGATGCTACCAGTCTTCCTTAAAGTTGAGATATTTTAGGATGTAAATATTTGTTTTCTTTTTGGTCCTTCTAAGGCGTTGCGAGTCCCGCTCTTAATTCCAATGTACCGCGATCAAAACCCACTGCTGGCTGCGTGGATTTTTATCGGGGTGTGGGGCGTCGCAGGTAGACCCAGCCTGAAATGGGTACCAAGATGGATGTCCTGGGAAAGAAAAGACGGCTGGCGTAATGCTGACCACATTACCCACCTAGGGCCAAATATGGGTGCTCTTCCCATATGTCAGATGCGCCTAAAGGTTTGAAAAGGGGTCTTTTACTTTTTTGTACTTATCTCTGATGGGTATTGTGGTAAGCGTCACACTGGCCGTCTTTACTGCCCAGGAAATGTCCTATTACCCAAATGCTTGAAAAAATAAATTTATCGTTATCTTGCTTTACATTTAGGCATAATTGAGTGGACCATACATCCAGAAAAATATTTAGATCTATGGACAGACATAAATGGAACCAATAAAAATCAGGGCGTACAGTCCAACAATCACAAACAATTCCTAGAGAAAAAAGTTTTATATTAAATAATGAGTATGGCTTATACAATTTGTAAGCCCTTATATTCTCATGTTCTTGAAATTAATTAGTTCCTTAATGATTAATAATCACAAATTATAGAACTACTTGCTCCCTGTGTGGGTTCCCGGGCCCTATTGTGGGGAAAACAAGAACAGACCCACTGCCTACCCAAAAGCGTGTCATAAGAGTCGACTAACTGGGAGCTTTCTTCAGAGTTGGAGTGCCTCTGCCTAAGAGGCAAGGAACCAACAGTCTGCATATAAATGAGTCAGATCTGTAAAACAGATGCACATGCAACACTCAGCTTCTGGAACAGGGCTGCAGTAAAATAGTGAATGAACAACCAGGACTTTCCCCAAGAGTTTACAGCTGGTGAACGTGAAGAAGAAAGAAGAATTACTTGCGGCGGAAGGTGGTAAATTGACTTGTTTGGGATGTCCCATTTTCAGCTAAAAAATATCAGTGGGATGTCCCGTTTTCAGCTGAAAATATCTAGGATGTCCCGTTTTCAGCTGAAAATGTTAGTGGGATGTCTCGTAATTAGTTCAAAATTTTAGTGGGATGTCCCATTGTCAGTTCAAAATTTTAGTGAGATGTCCCGTTATTCAGTTCAAAATATTAGTGGGATGTCCCATTATCGGTTCAAAATATTAGTGGCATGTCCCATTATCGGTTCAAAATATTAGTGGCATGTCCCATATCGGTTCAAAATATTAGTGGCATGTCCCATTATCGGTTCAAAATATTAGTGGCATGTCCCATTATTGGTTCAAAATATTAGTGGCATGTCCCATTATTGGTTCACGATATTATGGTATTTAAATTAAACTGAAGGAAAAAAAATGATAAAAAGCATTATTACAAACACAATACGCTCAATTTCAAAATTGCTTAACGCCCCCCCCCCCCCCTTGAAACCCCTTAAAACCCACCCTAAATGTTAAAGGTCACTCCCCTAGCCATATGGCCGGTATTATTTATATTCAAGACATATAAGAAGATGTTTGACTTCTTTTCGCTCAGACATATGTAGACAAACATTCTGTTCCCAACCTACATACAACCTCATACACCTTTTTCATTTGCTTCATACTAAAACTCACACATGTATTCTCCCCTCCAGAAATATGAAGCCTTGTACGACTTTACACCCGCCAATGCAGAAGAGGTTGAATTGAAGAAAGGGGACATCATCCTGCTGATTGCCAAAAGTGATCCCAACTGGTGGGAAGGTGAAGTGCGTGGCAAGAAAGGCTTCTTTCCGAAAAATTACGTCAGAGAGCTGAAGTAACAGAAATTAGGGCGGAACATTTGTTTTAGGCTTTCGGTATTTAAGCCTTGTTTTTTTCACAAATCTGCTTTTTAGTTTTGAAACTCACAAATTATTTTGTGAATAAAAAGAAATGAATGCTTTTGATTCTGACCACAGGGTATTTTATTAATGGGGGTTTTCAAAGTTTTTGCTTCTATTTCCCCATCCTTTTTTACCCCTTTTAAGTTGAGGAAGATTTAAGGTTCGGCTTCTTGCTGTTCTAACCACCTCGCCTGTAGAAATATTGTACGTTTGTAGCGTTTCTTCTTCTTGTCTTCTACCTGTATCCCGTAGTGGAGCATAGGCCCTCAACCAACTCACGCCAGGTTATCCTATCCTTTGCTGTCGCATCGCCTGCAGCTCGCCTCATGTCCTCTCCATATTTTTTAACCTGTCCCATGGACACATCATGAAAGTCGCCGTGGTGTTGGCGGCTAGACGCCCGCCTGCAGATCGGAAGGTCGTGGGTTCGCGTCCTAATATAGCCGGACTTTTTTTCAAAAATGACCTTGACTCCCATGTCGACCCATCCTTGAGTGGGTACCAGGTGCAGTCCTGGGAAGTAAAGGCGGCTGGCGTGATGCTGACCACATCACCCACCAAGTGCCGATTGGTCTATAAAAATATAGGTCCAGCCTTGCATTCCCAGTACGCCTGAAGGTGGGGAAAAGGGTTCTTTGCTTTTACTTTTTATGGACACATCATACTATTGTAGAGTTTGTCTGATGTGGTGGTATCTTTCCATCTTGTTCCTGGTCTAACTCATGCTTGACCTCAATCTTTTCTTGTTATGTATGCCTTGTGTGGTAAAGCAATGCAAGGCATTCTCTCTAAGTAAAAGTAAACACCTTTAGGCGTATAGGGCGTATAAGACTAAACCTATATTTTTTTAGATCAAGATGGGTGAAATGGTCAGCTTCATGCCGGCCGCCTTTACTTCCTGGGACTGCCCCCGGTTTTTTAAAAGTCCGGCTCCGTCAGGACACGAACCTGCCAGGGTTTGAACCCACGACTACTCCTTAAGAGGACAGATAATTTTATTTGCTGTTTAAGTGTTGATGATTTGTAAACACAATCATATCACTTTGAAATGGACACAGTTGTACATATGAAGTTTTGCCGGAAATACGGAGCAGCATGTACTCTATGCTTGACACCATTTTCTGCGCTGGCTGCTGAAGATGGGGGGTGCAGTGCTTATGGGAATGCCCGAGTGCTGTGATGTTGGTTCTTGAATCAGATCAACTCAACTTATAATGGACACAAGGGTGGGAACAACTATCGTACACTGCCATTTGTAGTTTACTAAATAGTCTCTTTGGTGGATTATATGAACAGTTACATTACTTCTTTTTCTTCTTAGCAGTCCCCTGCTGTAAATTTGGAAAGCTCTGAGTGTTCACCCACTTCTGGACTTCAGTCTTGTTCTAGACCTGAAGTTTTGCCCGTGACTCCGTTTTTTTAAATCTGGCTGATTTGTATGCAGACTGTTGGTTCCTCACCTCTCAGGTAGATGCACTTTGAATTTGAAGGAAACACTTCTAATAATCAACTTGTCCATGCTTTTTGGGTCTGTTACATTAAAAATAGAGGAGGCTTTTGATTCAGAAGCATCGTACAAAGTTAATATAAAATGTCCCTGTACACTGGAAATGCCCTAATTTCAACTTGTTTATTTCTGCTGCATACAGAATGTTGCCCCAGCAATGACCATGGAGCCCCTTTAAAATTGAAAAATACAAAATTGGCTGCTCCGTGTTTTCTCTGTTTGCTTCCAGTTTCAGTTAAAAGGTGTCGGTAAAACTGAGATGTGTAATTTTCAAAATGCACTACATGTTAGCTTCACAGGCATAGAGTGTGGAGAGCAATGCTACGGCGGGTCTCCATCAACAAACAATAATGAAACAAATCATTACAACACCTTGATCTTTTGGCTTTACAAAAAGCAGACCAGTTCTTGGTAATCCCCCCCCCCCCCCCCCCCCCCCCCCCCCCCCCCCCCCCCCCCCCCCCATATCTATAAATACACACCTTGTTGAAATGTTTGTAGGGGGGATATATTTTTTGAAAACATGAAGGGAAGTAATCAATGAATATAAATAAAGAATTAACCAGATTTAATGTCCCTGAGCCTCCCAGGAACTTGTATCATGATCTAATGACTTTGGAGCACCAACACAAATGTTATGGGCAATCTATGATGTGAGAATGACTTTAAAATTGCTATTTTATTCACAAGAAAAATCCCTAAAGGCTTTTTTTTCCCAAAAGGAGATTATAATAATACTACGGTAATTACAGTATTGCATAATAACATTTTGCAATATGAATCATTATAATCAGTTGTCGTCCCCTTGTTGGATGCAATGTTTTGTTATATTGAAGTCCCGCCCCGGCTTGTGCCAGGGGCCCTGAATATAGAAGGGCCATAAATATGGCCATAGCGGCTGAAAAGGGTTTCTGTGACCTCTGCATGGGTGATCCTCATCTGCATGGTGGCACTTTGTGTCACTGGGTGTTTATCGCTTTGTGTGATATCCTGGTGGGATACAATTTACTACTACTACTATTTTTTTGCAATATGAGGCAGAATAATTGTTGATTGTGGAAGGGGAGGGGAAAGGGGTGTGAGAACATCGCTACTCAAAATATCAAAACAGAATATCTGATATGTTTTTTTTTCAATTTTTTATATTTATGTTTTTGTCATGTACAGTGTTCGAAAAGTAAGTATTTGTGGACATTATAATACATTTTATTTTATTGTATGTGCTTGTCAGTATTTTCTGGCTCATTTTTAAAATTTATTTATTTCAGTAGATGTATAGATACTTAGATACTTTTTAATAGTGTGGATATGAGGGTAGAACAATGATTCTTGCTACAAGAACCAGTTTTTAACAAACATGAATCCTGGACAGTTAGTAAACAAGTCTAAAGATTTCTTGAGAGTCCAGAGATGTGATTTTGCAGAAACTAATGTGAGAAAATTGTGGACAACTTTTGTTCAAGACTACCACCAGATCGTGCACCACAGACCGAGCCTTGTCACTAGTCCCAACGGAAACAGGGCTAGAGGTTGCCCATGCAAGTGATGGATAGATGAAATATACGAGGCCGTGAATACCTGCATCTACGTATCACATACCAGATCTCAGGCTGACAGAACAGGATCTTGAGAAAATCAGAAGATAGTGGAGATCAGCCCATGAATTGATCCATGCTGTTGGAGATCACAAGACATGCAGAAGCTTCATCACTAATGCCAGTTTGGCAGATCTCTTGATGATAATGAGAGAAGGTATACACTAAGTTTTATTGGGAAAGCCTGTGTGTTTGTATGAAAGTATTTCAAATGTATTTACTGACTAGATTGAAACAAAGATGTGTTCTGGTCTCACATTTTGCTTTTAAGTAGTGTTATCATTATCATCATCATTTTCCACTTTTGCAGTTGGGGGGGGGGGGGGGGGAGGAGGAACAGTTTGCAACCCATTGCTTGATGGGTAGCGATGGCTATTGTGAATAGCCCTGTCCTAAAAGGACCTCTTGTTTTCACATTAGATCTGATCATGTGTTGCTACTTTTTCTGGTTGCATTCTAACGAGATGACTAAACTATTTATCTGTCTTTTTCTCAGTGAATATGGCGCATGGTATTGTTGTCATAGTCTGTCTTGTAGTATCATTTCTCACTTTGTCTCGGGGTTTATTGCAAAGTCGAAGGGACGTCGCTTAGTGCAGCAAAGCCTTGCATATGATGGCACGTCTAGTTTGAGAATAGAGGTGGAGGCAGTCTCTGTTGCCTTCTGCTGGCTTGAGAATCAGCTGTACACACATGACATGATTGTAACTGAATCACATAGCATGTTGAGAAAGGTGAAGACAGGCATGCTCGGTGCAGAATGGCAAGCATCACTTCAGAGATCCAAGGTAGTTAACAGTTTTTGGATATTTTCTCCAGGTCATTCTGGTGTGTTGGGAAATGAGCAGGCAGATAGACTGGCCGGCTCTGCACCACCTGAGGGTAAATTGATGTATGACAAGCTAGACATTGTGAGGGCCCTTTGGGAAGGAGTGAACAGTGCGGATGAGCAGATAGATCATTACGATCTGAGAAGAATAGTGCTGCAAGGAGTTACCAGGAGATCTGGCGGACTTCTAACACTCAGGGGAAGGATGAGATGGATATAGAATCAGACGGCTACTGGTGCCATCAGAATTGGGACTTTTCGCTTGCTGCTGAAGATGGGGACAGAGCACTTATGGGAGTGTCCTGAGTGCTGTGCTGTAGATTCTAAATTCAGCATTCAACATTCAACTTTGTCTCGGATAGTCAAGTTGGCGGTTTTTCTCAGGCATCTCATTTGTATTGTTAATTGAACAAAAGTCAAAATACCAGCCATTTTTCTCCTATCCTTTATCTTCCATTAGAGCATAGACCTTGGTTGTCAGTTGACAAGGCAGGCCCCTATCAACAGCTAAATATCTCACTGGCAAGGTCAGCCTCTGTCTTTCCAGAGGATAGTGTTATTTTGTGCTAAAGCAGTGGTTCTCAAACTTCCTAATGCAGCGACCCTTTAATATGTTCCTCATGCTGTGGTGACCCCCCAACCATAAAATTAATTTCGTTGCTTCTTCATACCTTCAATTAATATGTGTTTTCCACTTGTCTTAGGCGACACCTGTGAAAGGGTCGTTCGACACCCAAAGGGGTCACAACCCACTGGTTGAGAATCGCTGTGCTAGAGGGTGGCATTGGACTCACAGGCCTGCCTGTGATTAGAAAAGTGTCACAGACCAGGTATTTCACTGTCAACAGACAACATATTTAATTGCCAGCAGACTAGGTATTTCATTAGCAGCAAACTAGGTATTTCGTTGCCATCACACTGGGTATTTCATAGACAACAGACTAGATTTGTCACTGTCACCTGCCTGGACAACTCATTGTCACTGGGCTAGGTATTTCATTGCTAA